GGATGTGATCGCGGAGCCCGAGCTCACCCACTCCTTCGACAAAGTCTGGATCTGCAGCCACGCTCTCTTTGAGCTCAGCAAGTACCTGATCTACAAGCTCCTGACCATGGTCCTTGCCATACCGCTGGCCCTGGTTGTGGGGATCGTCTTCGCCGTGCTCAGCTGCCTGCACATCTGGTAAGCGCCTCGGTGCGTGGGCTCTGCGGACAGCTCGGCAGAACCCTCCTCTTGTAGCATTACTAGAGCGACTTCGGTAATCTGCTTTATTTTGAAAGGCAGAGAAAGGGAAGCAGTGTTTTCTCTGTGATTCAGTTCCCTGCCTTGCTTTTACCAGCGGTCTGTGTAAGCTCCTTGGGGCAGAGAGCCTGTTTTACCATTCGTATGGCACCTACCGCAATGCATTCCAGCCTCCACTGGAGTAATAATAATGAGTGCTTGGGTTTTTTTCAAACTGGTTGTTAAGTTGTTAAAATATATGTATTTGAAATGAAAGACCTGGGCAGAAGTATTACTGGCACCTGGCACCTTCTCAGTACGGTTACCTCTCTCATTTTTTTTTTCCACGCAGACTGAAGAAAGTTCTTGAGGGCCCAGCTCACTCTGTCTTTGCCACCACCACAAAATCTACTGTCACTGCCGTGCATCTGGTACGTGGCCATCTCTAGGCGCAGTGCCCCAAAGCACTTCCACCTAAGCAAAGAAGCCCTGCTGAGCTCAGGAAAACTGCTTCTGGCCATGGCCCAGGTTCACAGGCACTTACAGTAGCCCTCCAAGTCACAGCAAACCCAGTCTGCTTTAAACAGAATATTCTGGCAAAATATCAGGGAAGAGTACCTTGAGACCAGAAAGGCAGATGTTTGTGGAGAAGGAAGAAAGGCAGGGAAAAGAATGAGGTTGAGGAAAGAACTGAGAATCCAGCAGGCTGCAGGTGAAGGGATGAATGCAGATTATCAACGTCATTCCTGCAAACAGGATTTTCTGTATACATGGGTTTTGGGTAAAGTCTTGTTTGACTTGGGTAACACTGGAATCATGAAGAAGTTGTTAAGGAAAACCAAATACAATCCAGAAACTGGGAAACAGACTCAAAGCAATAGGAATACGTTGGTTATCCGAACCTGTTGTTGCAATCTTGTGGGTGCGGGTTTCAGTTTCTGAAAGTGGAATGGAAGGTTGGGTTGATGACATTGTCACTCGAATTTTGGAGCACAGACTTTGCGTAATATCCAAAGGAGTTGCAATGTAGTTGAGAGCTGCCCACCTGCTACTTCTCTGGTCCCCAGATTATTGTGAAGACTGTATGGTGTGCCCAGACATTTAGGTCTGTCGACTGTCACCGTGCCATATCATACCGTGTGACTGCAGAAGGGTACGGTGAGCATATGGATTTCCAGTAGTGGAACATCTACGGAAGAATTCATCGGTGCTGAATTTATTAGGATTGTAATAAGTTTTTGTGCTTCAGAATGATCTTGTATCTGGATTTGACAGCCTGGATATATAGCCATGAGTTCCACCGAACCAGGACTCAGGGGTCAGTTTCTATTTATGCAAGTAGTCCCCAGTGGCTCTCTGGGGAACGGTGGGTTCTCAGTACATCTGAAATAGGACTGTCTGAATGTGGCACTCCATTTCCAAAGTTTCCCTTGACCTTCTGTGAACACACTTGCTTCCCCAGCAAGTAATTTTTTTTCCCCGTGTTCATTGTCACTACAGAAGTGATCTTTCATTTTGACCTTCCTTACACCTGGGATGGGTGTGAAAGATTCACGTCACTCAGTAGCGCTATCTGCACCCCCTTGGACCCCATCCAGTGCTACCATCCAAAGCCAGCACTGGCTTATCTTCCCACAACCACAAGCTGGATTTGTTCCAACACAAAGGTGGAACACACTGAAACTTAACTTCTCAGCAGCTCTCCGTGGTCCAGATTTCTTGGGAGTAAGTTCAAAGTTTCTGCATTTGAGAGGATAGGGCAGGAGCAGTGCGGGCATAGGGACCCTAAACGTGTGGTACTGGCTCCCACGTAGCCCCATCGGGTCTGAAAAAAATAGTAACTCCTTGTTTTGTGGGTGAGAGGAAGGGAATTTCATGGGAAATCCCTGGGCGCACCCTCCCAGGTGGCTGCCTGCAGGAGGGCTCTTCAGCATCGTTGCACCTCACTTTCATCATCCAAACCAGTGAGATGATGATGTCGATCTGTCAGGGGAGTCTTTCCTGAGGCTAAATTCGAAGGTGTTTCTACAACTTTTGGAAGCGCTCAGGCGCAAAGCCCTGTTGATTGTCACACATGTTGTCGCAGTTTTGTCAGCGTGCTAAAAAATCCACAAAAGTCTGACTCGGCAAAAAAAATGCGCATCAAGGACACCTCATGAGTTGCCCCCCTCATACCTGATAGTCAATGTTGTCTTTCGCCAGCAAAAGTTGTTAACGAAGGAAGCAAATATTTGAGACTTCATGGAAAACAGAAAGAAAACTAAGTAAGAAATATGTAATAATACACTTTAATTTTCATTTTTAACTATAAAGATGGAGCATATTCTGTTCCTGTTCTCAACCTGGCTGCTTGAGCCAGAATCCAGTTTTACACTACCTGGGAAAAGATACCGATGGGCTGTAACTGTGCCAGCTAGCAGGCTGGTGACCTACGTACAAGCCAGTTCAAGGAAGGCTACTTCTCCACATTTCTTCTCCTTTACTGGTGGCTGTCATTCTCACCACAGACTACACACAGCAGGATTTGTCAGACCCAGTTTTAACATCTTTCTGTGAATATTAGCAAGCTTTTAAACGTATCCTTAGATTGAGGCTGTTAAGGTTATTGATTTTTGAACCTGAGTAGAACACTGCTGGTTTTCTAGGCAGCACATGCAAAATCGTGATATTTATTTTAGATCAGGGACTGATTCTTGTTCCAAGCCACATGTTTGCCACCCCTTGGAAATTAACACTTGAATCTCATATACGCTTTTTGGTAGTCTTGTCTGAGTAGTGTTCTGATGTGTTGCATATTTATCCTAAGAATCCACGGTTCATTTGAGGATGCATAACTGGAGTCTTGGACCTGAGATGGGCTCTAAAGCACAAGGACTCAGCCAGCTTTATGCTCTTGTCGTCAGCTGGAGCAGGTGGTACTCAGAGCTCCTCTCAGCTTGAGCTTCCATTCACAGTGCTAAGATGTAGCCAGGGACTTACGTGCAGAGCAGTAGATAAGGACATGCACCATCTCTTACCTCTTTCTCCACCACTCCGTTGACATACCTTATTGCTACCATACTCAACCCCAAAACCATCTCCCTGCTGGCTGGCTGAAATCAAAAGAAATTACAGTACAGCTATGCCATGAAGACCCACCATATGATCTGGCGTTGCCTTGATGCCTCTTCTTTCACGTCCAGTGTATATCCCTTGGGTTCTGAAGAATAAGTAGGTGGATGTTGTCTTGCTTCCTTTTTAGTTTTATCTTTTCCAGGTCCTGGGATATATAATGTTTGGGTTTAATGCACTTCATATACTGTGTATGTATGGGTCCTGGAAGGCTTTGGTGGTTATCTCTTGCCTCGCTCATAAATATCCCAAGGGTTAATGGGACTCGACAAGAAGCTCTGCAACTGCTAAGTAATTATTTAGCTGTCTGTTCCCAATGCTTGCTTGTATTGTAGAGCCATTCAAGATTTTTAATTCAAACCCATGATGTAGTACATATGCATACTTGGAATTAAGAAATTTAACCACTGAATCATATAGCATGTGAAAAATAGCATTAAGACATGTCTGAGGTTCCATTCTGAAAAAACTTTACAGGAGAAGATGTGATTCTTCACTTTGAAGTGGGAATCTGAATTAATAGTGAATGACTACTCCAACTACATTGCCCAACTCTGTGAAAAGTTGAGCTGCTTTGAACTGAAAATACCCGTATCAGTGGGAATTAAATGGTGCTCTGCTATTTCCAAGAGGTGTTTGGTTCTCGACAGTGTGCCCTCAGGGACTGGCAGAAAAAAAGTCATGTGAGCAAAAATGAGAGAGGTTTGATGGGTATAATCTCGTAGATGTCATGCCTTGAACGAAGAGAAAATAGGATAGGATAGAAAAAATGGGGTAGTTTACTCTTTTCAGTTCAGTGGTTCCCAAGAGTGGTGATTCCTTCTACTTAGTGAAAGGATGGGTATTTTATGGTGTATATACATAGCAAGATTCAATGAGAGGTCATATAGGTAGTTGAAATACCTTGGCTACCCTTCAACTTAGATGCCAAATTCAACAGAGCTTTGATTTTCTTCCCAATGCTGTACTACGTGGTAACACTAGTAGTACCGACATTGCAGTAAATGTTGATATCCTTGGGATATGCCAACTTCACTTCCACCGTTAGACGTTACTCAAGCGAGCAGTTACCATCTCTGTGAATAGAAGTGCAGACTGGGGTAAACCCACAGCATTGTGAATAAAGGATGTATATGTCAACGTTTATCTGATAGGTCACAAAAACAAATACGTGGCTTCTAATGGCACTTGGTTATTTATTTTTCAAATGTGCCTGGTCACTCCGCAGAAGGCACATCACACCCTCTGATGATTTGAAAATGCCGCAAGGCAGGTTAACATATTCTATGTGGAAGAGGATGTGTACTTATATACGTGTAGACACATACACAGACACACGTATTTTAAAAGTCAGAAAATAACTTTTACTGCTGTCTTAGGTGTAAAGGATTTTCTTCCCTGAGGAAAGGTGTTTGAGTAATTGTTGTCTAAGTAGACTGACTTTTATTTTAAAATTAAAAGTTATTTACGTTAATTAGCTTTGGTTGCTTGCACGTTTCATGTATCTTCCTACGGAGTTAGCCTAGATTGTTTTTTGCATGCATTTACCATCAAATTGGATAGCAAGCGTTACAAGGTTATAAAATATTACCAAAACATTTTTGTACTTATTGTATTTAACATTATCAAAAGAGACTGAGTTCTGGTAGTGTGTGAATGACCTTAGAGCAATTGCAAGTAGTACGTTCACTGCTTTTCCAGCCTTTCCTGGGGCTTCACTACATCTTTCCATGAAACTTCTGCGTAGTGTGGTATATGTTTGGTTTGTATTTTATGCGATCCTGTTGACGGAGGGTCCAATAGAAACGTCAGCTTTTCTGCTTCTCTCCAGTTCAGTTAGATCTAAAAAAAAAAAAGAAAAAAATCAGGCCAAATTAATTTTAGGTGGCAGCAAAGGAGCAGTGGCACAGCCTTGATGAGCTAACTGAAATGGAAAAGGGATGAAGTCAGCACAAGCTGAGTGGCCATTTCTGGTGTTTTCCCTGTGTTGCTTGGAGAAATACCTTTTTTTTTTCTTTGCTTATCAACTATATTCTAACAGGTGAAGGCTTAATTTTATTCTGTAAAAATTACCTGTTTTGTATGCAGTGATACTATAGGTGGTTATAAAGCGCATAGTTTACAGGGTTCAGTTTAAAACTAGAGACACATTATTCCAGTAACGCTCACCCTTCTATATGGTGTGTATATTGCTAGCTGTTTCAGCAGAGACAAAAGACGAGAAGGTTTTAGAAAAACTATTCTTGTTTAAATCCATCAGGGTTAGCTCGGAGTGCAGCACAGACACACTAGTATATGGCTTGCATTTTATGATAAAAGCTGAGAATCCTGTTAGATAAACACTGGGAATAATTCATTTTGACACTTTACATTTCTAAGCTTCACCTTTGTTTAAAGGTACCAGGTTTTTTTCTACTTTGTTATTCTGAGAAGTACTCATTGGAAATACACAATACTTCTGTATGTTTTTCAGACCTATGATGAAATAGTAAATTAAATATTTCCTGTCATTCCAACCAAAGCCAACGAGAATTCTGCAAGAACAAGAATAGTGGAACTATGTGGATGCAAGACTGAGATCTTAAATTTTGAATGCAACAGTAAACAAGAACCGAGTTTATTATCTTTATCAAGAGAATCTATAGCTTCTTCTACCTAATCTAGGAAATACATGTGTTATGTATGGCACAGAGAGTTTTTAAAACCTTGTTCTAGTACCACTTCTGTATTACGTAAATTATTTATGCATTTAATTTGTCTGCACCCAAATAAGAAGATCCAGCTTAGTGAAACGATCAAAGATTTTGGCCAGTAAATGCTGAAGAAAGGAGAATAACTTAAAATAGCGTGGTCAGTTATCACGGATCCACCGGCCCTCGTCAGCTGCCCATATGTGCGCTTCTGGCTTTGCCTCCCTTGTAAGGATGCTTGGCTTAAGCCACCACTAATGACCTTGCTTTGGAATTGGGTCATAGGGAGAGCATCCCCGGATGCTTACCAGTGCTCAGGAGATGAAAGCACGATAGTTTCAAGTACGTACCCTGATTGAATAAAAAGAACTTCCCCCTGAGCAGGGAGTTTTGACCTCATTCTACGTTAGTTTCTCACCCACAAATGAAAAACTTTACAGGATCAGCAAGATTTCTGAGGTTGGGCATGTCTCTGTACCATAGTAATCCAATGTAACCGGATATTGCTTTACCTTTTCTGGTTTATTGTAGTGATGTTAGATTGGTAGGCATGAGAGATGAACATGTGTCTGGGCATTTGTATGTGCGAGAGAGAGAGAGACAGGTAAAAGAAAGACCAGAAGAGACAGCAGAGGAAGAACAGATCATAAAGAGCAATGTTCCCAGTCAATCCAACTGGGGAATGTTGTGTTTCTGTCCTGAAGAAGACAGACATTCAGATATGACCACGGCGCAGCTGAGTCTTTAGGGAATGACCCTGCTCTTCAGCGGGATTGCAGCATATCACGTACGCCAGCCCTTCCAGCAGCAGGGAGAGAACAGCAAAAGTTCACCCCTGTACAGGGCACGTCCAAAAATGAGCTCAGCATTGCCAGTTTGGAAGCAGAGACACGATGAGAAGAAAGCTGGTGTCTCCCATCCCGTGTGCTGCAGGCAAGTGATGCTGGCCAGAGGACCACACGCATCGTGGTGCTTCTGCACACGCAGGTGTGAGGCTGTGAGCGAACAAAATTGATGGAGAATGAGTGCGAGAGTGTCAAATCAGCTTGTTTAGAGATTCAGCATTATCAAATCACTTCCTCTTCCATTAAGATCTCACACTTGCGTTTGGTTATCCTGATTTCCCTGTGCTATAGCAGCAGCAATCTTCAAATCTTCCATTTTCTCTTTTTACAGGATTGTGGTGCCTTTTGTGAAAACCTGTCTCATGGTCTTGCCTTCAGTGCAAACTATATGGAAGAGCCTGACAGATGTTTTCGTCGTACCGTTCTTTCAGAGCATAGGCCGATGCTTTGCCATGGTTAATATACGCCTGGACCAAGAGTAAACGTCGGGGATGCGACACTACTGTAATTGTAGCTGGTGTGATACCTCTTTGCTAACCTAACATGCAAGCACTTACCGTTCATTCCAAACTGTTGAATTACGATGGCTGGTTTAAGTGGGAACATGCTATTTTTCTTAAAACTCATTTATTTTCAGGGAGATCAGTTTAAGAAGTAGGCAGTTTTTCATAGCTCACTATTTTAACAACAGAGCGATCGCGGAGTATGTTGGCAACACTTTATTTTAATGGTACGTTGATGGCGAGGTGGCAGGAGAATTCTCGTGGAGGTTTAACAGCCACCACAGCGATAATGATTTGGCATTACTACTATAAATATTTCGATGAGGAGGCTGTGATACCTTAGGTGAAACTGATCTCTAGGGTTTCACCTTGACGTTACTGCAGTTCCACCAGGGATCATTTTTGGCCCTCGCTATGCAGATTGATAAACCCAGTCCTTCCTTATCAGCAGTTAAAATGAATGTGACTCGTTGCACAAACATACAGGGAAAGGAACTGTTGTGTAATTCTCCTATATTGGGGAGGAAAAGCTCCCTAGAAATTTATCCCTTAAAATAAGGTGTTAGCTAATGATTTGGAACATCAGCTAATCTGTATATTTTATTTAATGAGAGGTTAACTTTGCTGTATATTTTGTACCTTTGTAAATGGCACTTGGTTGGTTTTTCGAAGCATTATTTCTATAGTATTTGAATTCTAACCAACTTACTAGGCAGCAAGAGTGACACACTGCAAAAAATGACTTTAGAATCATAGAATCATTTGGGCTGGAAGGGACCTTTAGAGGTCATCTAGTCCAACCCCCCTGCGGTGAGCAGGGACATCTCCAACTAGATAAGGTTGCTCAGAGCCCCATCCAGCCTGACCTTGAATGCCTCCAGGGATGGGGCTTCCACCACCTCTCTGGGCAACCTGTTCCAGCGCTTTAGATACCTAAAATTTGCATTTCTAAATTATGTAGATTTTTAAGTGTTGCCGTGCAATTCATTATATATGGCTGCGTGTAAAATCAAAGATTGTAAGTGTTTTCGTACAAGACTATGCAAAAGAATTGGAGATAACTGTTTATGAGAAATGGTTTTTTATTAAAAATGGGGTGTAGTAGATGCAACCCTGCCTATTTCTGTGTATTACGTGTAAAAGCAAAGATTGTGTTTTCGTACAAGACTATGCAAAAGAATTGGAGATATCTGTTTATGAGAAATGTTTTTTTATTAAAAATGGGGTGTAGTAGATGCAACCCTGCCTATTTCTGTGTATTATCTGTGTGAACATTGTGATATTTAAAACCATAGACACTATGCTGGCACTTTAACTAAGTAGCAAGCTCTTATAGAAGGCAAGTGAGTGTAATTGGTATTCCTGTCTAGTTCTCCTCACCTATTGACTTGTTGCTTATTTGCTGCTTCAAAGCCTAACCCCTGAAAAAAGCCCTTCTTCCTTCTGCACCTCGTATGGCTTTGTAAACCAGAATAACAGAACGTACGCAGAGATACATTAAAATTACATTGGCCTTCTGATGGGCTTCTGCTACTGTTTTCTTTAAATACAGGTGGTAAGTTGCAATTGTAGAATGTTTGTATGATTTAGAATGTTATTTTCTAAAATGATGCCACAGATTTCTTATCAAACAAGAGGTATATAATAAAATAATAAAATGTCAGCTTTTTGCCATTTTCAACTTCATTTTTTCAGATTTCTCAACTTTTTAAAAAGCTCTTAAAATGCCAGACAAAATGCATAGAATACTATGCAGTTCTTCCAAAATGCGGGAGAGGGAAAAGAAATGGATGAGCATCAATACAGTTCCAGTATTACCAACTTTATTTAATGTACTTATAGTAGAAAATGATGTATCTCTGTGTGTCATTAAGCCCAGACAGAATGATTGCTTTCTCTGAAGTAGGTCTCTCTGCAGAATTTTGGCTACATTCAAAAAAAGGCTTAATTCTTTTTACAGGTGCATGCTTTCTTTACAGGTGAGCTGCAGAATTATCTTTTTCTTCTTTATTGGCCTACAGAAGCTAGCTGACACTGTATATTCTTTGTACATTAAGAACATCTTTGTACGTTAAAGATATTTTTACCATTTGTGCCATTTAGAGAGGGATTCATATGGCTTTTGAAAACTGGATCTTAACGATTAGTGCCTATGGAAACTTCTCTGGAGTTTTTTTTATTCTGCAAGAAGTTAGCTTGTTGTTCAGATGTGCTTTTCAAGATACCTTTATTATGTTAAAAATGGAAATATCTCTTTTGAAAATAAAAACTGGTCAGGCTAGGCTTGAACTCTTTTGAGAGTTACTTTCTTTTACAACATCCGAGGATTTTTACAAAGATATTTTCCATGGAAAAATATCCCCTTGATGAATTCATTTTTAAAAAAAAAAAAAAAGAAAACAATCGGTGCTAGTTCTTGTGTCTAAAAGGAGCCCTATAAAAGCCTAGGCTTTGAGGGAACTCAACTCTGGATCCAGGCTTTGAGAATGAGGCCATTCCCTAGAGAAAAATGTATCATTTTAGGCCATGCACTCCTGGATCTATGCATTCTTCGATAGCTTTCTGAAGTCATCTGGCTCTAGCTACCACAGGCAATCCAGTAGAGTGGTTTGGTTTGTTCTTATTTTGATTCAGGCTTGTCATTAATTAGTTCTTTTCACCATTTCTCTAGCTGTTACAAGACTCAAGCAAGCTTGTAATTAAGTAATTAAAGCTGTTAGTTTCTTACGTACTTTGTAGCAGTATCTTTCTCTGGAAGAGATGTGCTTTTACTAGAAGAAAATAGCAAATGCACTGTTAGGCTTAGGGAGAAATATTAGATGCTTGGCAAATAGGCTTACTTCATCCATGAAAGGAGTGGAAGGAAACGTGAATGTTTACAGACTCTCCAATACTTAGGTGTGAATCTGCCCCGGGCAACTCCAGCTGGCAAGTATTCTCTGGATTTGATGGATTTGACAGTTCTGACAGACACCCCGAAGCTCTGCCACAGCTGATACTGTCAGTGGCTTACAGCGTTGTTGGACAAGAGGGACTGAACGGGCACTGGCGCTTGACTGTCATCTTCAATATAGGGGGAGGTTCCTTCAGTTCGTCTCCAATTTGGTTGAAATGTGGACAGACCATCCCAGCTGATCCCTTAACAGCAACTTACAGCTGAGAATTTAGGCAAGAAGGGAATCCAGAAACTTAGTCTCATTGTCTGCAACAAACGTAGGAAAATTTACACCTGATTCAGGCCATCTACTTTGATCCATCTTCTTCCCCTCTGTGGAATGGGGAAAATGTTACTGCTCTTAACAAGAGTGGACTTCCTATCATCATGGTAGAGTTATGAGGATAAATAAATAAAAAGTGTGAGATATCCTGATTCCAGACTGCCTCTTGTTACTGCAGACCTTAGATTTATAAGCATGAGCCGGAGATTCAGTTCTGTCATGCAAAATATTTCAGCATCTTCTTGTTTGTGAGGATCACAACTAACATACAGAACTAACCCTGGATTTGTGTTCGGGGACTTTTTTCTTTTAATTCACAAAGAAATTTAACCTGCCTCCTTATGAGAGCTATGTCATAAAGTCCTTCTAATCTGACTCTAGAACTTTTATATTTGTGTCTTATCTTTCCCCACCCTACCTGTTCACCGTATAAATTGGAATAAACTCTTAACAGAAACTTTAACGTATTCATAAATGAGGAGCCTTTTCCTACCTACCCAAAAAGCTGACTTACACATACACTGACTGAAAAGTTCAGAACATGCCTGCAGCTCTGGGACCTCAGACCACACACTCCTGTTTCGTGGAAGCCAAAGAATGGTAAGTCCATTATTTTTACAGGGTGTGATCATTCCCCCACCTGCAGAGATAAAACTATTGCTGTTAAGCTGGATTAACTCTAGTTGAAAAATACATGGAAAAATACATGTGAGTTTGGTTTTTTTTAAAGAAAAAAAGAAAATGCAAATGGAACAAGGTCAAACACCAGACACGCCACCAGTGTTGTCTGTTAGTACACTGTGCTCATGAAAATCAGAGCTGAAGACCTCCAGCAAGTACCCGGAACAAGCAGTTGTGCATTAAAAACTGAGGTGCTTTCTTCCTGCAGGGATTTACAGCCGAGGGGGGAATTAATAAAGGTTAATTTTAGCCTGGTGACACAGTTTATTGCAACAAAATGAAAATGTCTTTTGGAGAGGCAATTCAGAGGAGCTGAGATAGGTTCCTGCTCTGAATCGCCCTCCAGAGAAGACTCTCTGCACTGATTAATGCAAATGTTGGGTTTGGCTTGGTGCGGCTCCTTTCCTCTGCTACCTAAAAAGTTCTGTTTGCTGCAGAAATTGGGCAGGCCTACGGAAGCAACTTTGTGTCAGTAGTGGGGCAGGTCCTTCTCTACAGGCTATTCTCACAACTTGAGGCCGGGGTGAGCGTCACCTGTGTTAGGCGTTCAATATTGTCTGTGGTCTGGCTTCCCCCTCCCACTGCGAGCAGGAAAAAGAAGGACTCCTTCACAAGGCACGGAATCGGATCTGACTTTAGACACCTAAAGGGAATAAAATGTAGAGGTTCACACTTTGATTTCAAACTTTGAGGAAAGCTTTTCTGTTTTTCCAACTGTCTCAGTTTAGCAAGAGCTGATTTTTCACCCCATGCACCTACCTCACCTTGCTTTTTATTTTACACTCTCATCACAGCTATCAGGATGCTACAACTGTAAGCTCGGATTGGCCACGAAACACTTAAGATGGCGAAGCTCAGTGACAAAAAGTCCCACCCTACGTAAGCTTCAAGGAGTGGGTATTTAAGTCCCATTCATGAGACTAGTTGTCACAGTCTGATATTCCTATAAGACACCTGAAGTTAATAATATGCTAGAACTGGCAGAATGGTACAGAACGGTGTTGACGTTGATCAGCGTTCACGGTCCAGCTCGGTATTTGTCAAGGAATTGGATATTGAAAAGGGTTGAGAAAGGCGTGAGTCAGTTTGCACAAGGAGAATTAAAGCTTTCAATCTATTTGCCTCTCCAGCCAAGCCAGTTACAAGCTATCTTGATCGAGACCTACAGGGACTAGCTCTAATAAAAGCTGTACACACCTACCGCAGGATTGAGATGAGAGTCAGGCATTTAAATCCAAAAATTGTAATCCCTGCCCAGGTGCCACCCAACCAGGAACATGTCTAAACTGAGAAGGCACCTCCCTTTCGCATAACCTCCCCTCGGTACCTACAGGTTTACTTTGGTCGTGCCCAGAACTGCCCTTCTTTGAGCGACTCGGCATCTTACTCGCATCTAAGCCCAGCCAGAATCCCAAAAGGAGGGAAGAGATTGCCACGGACCCCACCAAACGCACTTACTGTGCATCAGCAGAATAGGGCGCTTCACAAAAATACGCTTTCCCAGGAGCGAGTCCAAATGCATTAGCACACCTCGGAGAGGCAAAAATTGATTTTGAGTCTCCCAAGTGTTGGATTACTCCTTCTAGCCCTCAGGCTATTGTGAAATGTGTTATGGCAGCAGCGCTTCCATGTCAAAGGAAATCACTGCTAGGTAGAGGTTGTGAGAAGGAAGGAAGGTGAAGGGATCTCACCGTCTCTCCTGGTGTAACTACTCCTTTGCGGCAAGGAACAAACAGGCCAAATAACAAACACACAGATGGAAGTGTGGTCCTATATACTGGTGGCGAGGGGCACCCATCTCAGTGGAAAAGTTCTGATCCAGTGGCGTAGAATTTAAAATACAGAA